GCCTGTAGCTCTCCAAAGTCCAAACCAGTTTCCCTTCAGCTGACTGAAAGGGATTCAAGACCAAGCCTAGCACAAGGGGATGGCAGAGTTCTGGAGGTAGAAAACACACCTTATCTTACTTAAATGTGGAGCTGAACAAAATTATGAGTGAAAGTCACAAGATAGGGCCAGAAGTGGAAATTTTAAACAACAGGGGATTGATTTCTTCAGTGCCTTTTTCTTTTTTTCCTCAGTTTAGCTTCACACTTCAATATTTGGCATAAGTAGAGTTATTAGGTCTTGCAGTGATGAAGACAAGCTCTAGTGCTGTCTGCTGGTCTGTGGGCAGAGAAAAGAGAACAAGTTTCTTTTGAGCTAAAGGTCTGAAATATGCTTATAAGGAAGCTGGAAATTCCCTTCCCATCACTTTTTTCCCCCCTCCTGTGAGAGGGGAAGCTTTTTTTTTCATCTGACCTTGCCTGGACACAGACTGCATGTCATGTGGTTGACCCAGGAGCAGTCTATTTCCCACAGACTCCACTTGAACGTGCAATGCACTTCCAGGTCCTGGGTGACAGTGTAAAGTTCAAGCAAGGATCACTCTGTTTAGCTGTGCTAGGGGCTCCTAATCCCAGTGGGTCAAATTGTTTTGAGTTGAAGAGGTTACAGGCTTTTCTGAGGGAGTATTTAAACTCCATCTGTCAAAGCACTTGCGTAGGAGAAATTTATAGCCTCTGCCCAGCAGTACATTAAAGTACTGTTTTCTTGTCTTTAATTTAGGAGCATGCATTGTTTTTAAGTGTCTCTAAAAGAATAATTAATCTGTGGCAAATTTCTGCCTATAAAAATTATAAATAGTAGATTATAGAAAACAACAATACTAAAAAAAATAATTCAAGGAACCACTCTGATGAGAGCCACCTCAAGAAGACTCCTGGCAAAGCTGTTGGAATGCCTTTAAGGAGCTTGAAACCTGCTTCAGTTTAATTCTGCATTTAAAAAGAAAACAAACCCACATGTACAGTAAAAGGAGAATAAAATAAAGCATCCAGGCAGAGTTTTTTCTCAGGGGCTAAAGAACGAGTTTGAAAGTGAGGAAGTTTGGTATTGCAGCTTTCTAGGACAACTCAGTGTCACTCCCTGATGCTATTGGCCTCGATTTTGGTATATCAACCAGATGCAAGTCTGATAAATTAAGGACAGGTCATTTTCTTTCCATTTACAGGAGAAAGGGCAGTTCAGAAACACAAGTGACATCTGCTGTGAGGCTGAGACTTCACTTTCTCTAGTTGCTTTGAAGAAGGTGAACCTACTGCCAATGTTTGACCAGGCAGAGTTACAGGTATGGCTGTGGTTGAAGCAATGTCACCCCTAGGACACGATAGGCATTGCTCAAATGCTTGTCACTGAAATATCCAAGCTGATATGACTTTTCTACTCCCTACCTTTCTGATAAAGCAAATATTTCCCTTGGCTGAGGGCAGGGCTATTACAAAGAACCTGAGAATGAAGATGGTGCCAAGGGTGTGTGGATGAGGTAATCCTGGCTGGAGCAAGTTCTGTGAACAAAGGGGTGCTGCAGCTCAGGTTCCTGCAGGCTCTGCTTTCCAGCCTTGACATCTCAGCTGTAATAACACACAGGTCGTCGTCATCTGCAAAATCCTCCACAGCCACTGTGTTATTTAAGATGCTGCTACACGTCTCCCAACACTTTCTCCTTCCTTCTGCCACTCCCTAGGCATCTCCCATACCTCCACATGGCCCTCACAGCAACAGCCTCACCTTCCTCCACTGCACCCAGCCTCTTCTGGTGTGACAAGAAGGACGTGGAGCTGCTGGAGCATGTCCAGAGGAGAGCCACCAGAATGATGAGAGGGCTGGAGCAGCTCTGCTGTGAGGACAGGCTGAGGGAGTTGAGGCTGTTCAGCCTGGAGAAGAGGAGGCTCTGGGGGGACCTCATAGCAACCTTCCAATACCTGAGAGGGGCCTACAAGAAAGCAGGGGAGGGACTATTCACAAGGGTTTGGAGTGACAGGACGACGGGGTGTGGCTTTAAGCTAGAAACGGGGAGATTTAGGCTAGCTGTCAGGACAAAGTTCTCCAGTATGAGGGTGATAGATCCCTGGAATAGGTTGCCCAGACAGGTGGTGGAGGCCCCACCCTGGGGACATTCAAGATCAGGCTGGATGAAGCTCTGAGTAGCTTGATCTAGTTGGAGATGTCCCTGTTTATTGCAGGGCTGTTGGACTAGATGACCTCTGGAGGTCCCTTCCAGCCCAAACATTCTATGATTCTATGATTCTATGACATTAAATGTGAGCAAAATAGCTTGAAAAAAATGAAGGCAACTTTCACTCCAAGCAATTTTTTCAAGCAGTTAATTGGAAATGCTGGGGGTGAGGGGTGGGGAATTGTGAGACAGCTAGTTTGGGGGTTTTCAGGTTTTGATGCTGGAAGAGAAACAACAGCCAGGTTTTCAATATGAAGCAGCCTAATAGTACTAACCTTGGTACTTAACATTCTTGTTTTTCCTTGACAGCTAAATAAAGTAGACAAACTCCTAGGGCCTTCACCAATCACACAAAAGGAAAATGTTTATTGGGGTGATAAACAACCAACCCTAATGTCTCCCATTAGGGAGGACTGGCCAAAAGAGAAGAGAGAAGAGAAAAATCACAGAGCCACAGAACTGCTGAGACTGTAAAGGACCTCTGGAAGTACTCTAAAATGCTGAAATACTACAACTAAACCCAAATGCAATATAAATACTTGGCTGAACCAAGCTCAGGACTGGTTGCTTCCCAAATGCACAGCAGTATGTGCAATTCTATTGGCTGTTCATTTTGGTAGCAAGACTGGTGCCAACGTGGTTATTGCAGAAGGAGTGAGAGGGGTAAAAGCATCATCCTGGTTTAACACTAATCACAAGATGAGCAGCACCACGGTGCAAATGCCACAAGGAAGATGATGGAGAAGTTGGAAAGGGATTTCTGGGGAGCTCCACCACTTCTTCATTATCAGCAGTTTCCAGACTGAGTCTGTCTGTCTGCCTCTGTAACCCCACTTCCCACCCACATTCCTTTCCAGCAGTGCTGCTTTATTTGACTTATCTTTTTCTTAAACCCACTTAATTGGCACACTTAACTCTTTATGTTCCTTAACAGCCTCTCTGGCATTGCTCTAAAAAAAGCAGTCATAAGGATTGCAAGGATTTCAAAACAGCATCTAAAATGAGAAAGGTCTTTAGAGTCCCCATGTTTGACTGCCCTAGCTCCATTAACTCACATACACTTCATAAAACACTTGGCATGGTGAAGCAAGCTGGACTTTATGAGCTGTGAAACTGTCCAAGTCAGTCTGTAATCCAAAGTCTACTTTTCCATAAGCTCCTTTAAGACCTAATGAAGCTGCATTCCCCTGCAATGACCTGTAAGTCTTTTAGTGCATGTATTGTAGATCAGAACAGATCCTTGCTGTGCTGCTCAAAGTCTGATTAGCTTATCATGTACACTATACTTGGTCTAAGTTTCCTTATTCAGATCTATTAGGAATCTAAGAAAGAAACTTGCAAGTGGAAGAGGTACCAGAAGATGCCCCAGAGGTGATAAAATTATGTCAGGAAGGGGGGGAAAAAAAGTAAAATATTCCTTAGGCAATTTTGTTTTATTTGGGGAGCTGCTGCAGGCTTTACACACACCAAAAAGCACCATCAGCTCCATCCATACTGGGATTTAGGATAGCCCATTTGTAACTTCTGGACAGAAACAGTAAAGCCTCTCTAAACACAGGAGGTGGAAGGGAAACTGGGGGGAGGGAAAAACTCCTCTAATGCTCCATGTTCTTAATGCTTCTCTGTGACACCATGCTCCTGGGAGCAAGGCACAGAGCAGGGCATCTCCCACAAGGCTTTGGCAGAGAAGAGGCTCCATGGCTTTCCCTTGCCAGTGGCAGCAAGGCCCCACCTCTGCTGGTGAAAATAGCACGTTTCTGACATGATAACAACATGGGTTAAGTTCCTGGCATGAGCTGGGTGAGTTGTAGTTTTAACACGTTAACATGTTCTACCAGGGGAAAAGCTGGAAGTATTTTTAGCATGGCCTGAGTGTTTGTCTCTGCACTGTTCTGTCCTTTTTTGGAATTTTTAACTCTGGAAACAAATACAATACCCTTTGCAGTAGTGAAACACCACCTATTTTCATTTATTGTTTGCCACGAAGAAGACGGTCAGTTGCACTTCTAAAGACATGAAAGGAGAAATGTAAATCAGCTACTTTTGACACAGCTTTCCCCCTTCACAACACCAGACAGCTCACTTAACAGTTTCACTAATGCCTGCCCATGACCTCCAGCCTTCCCTACCCACATGCTTAGCTGTGAAGAAATCTCAGTGGAGAAAACATTCCTCTTCATGATGAAATTCAGTCTCAAATGGTCTGATTTCCAACATGTTATGGAGAAGCATCTGACAACAGTACTTTTGTTTCATCATGTTCAACCCCCCCAGCAGCATTATCCCTCCCACCATGCTGTGCTGGAGGCAGAGCCCACCAAGTTGGTTGGGTATAAAGGAGGAGATGAAGTTTAAGCACAAATGTGACAACAGGAACCAACACGAGGTGAGTCTGAAAGGGGGAATCATGCAGAGTGAAGGAGGGACTCTCCCCCTCTCCTATTTTCTGTCCCATTTCAAGTAGCATCCCCCTCCTCCTCAGCTCTGCCTGTCCCTAGCATGAGCACGTGCTGCAGCCCACACTGCACAGGCGTGCCCAGGGACTGGCAGTGTCCAGGCTGCACACACAAGTCACCCAGGGCAACAAGACTCTTGAAAGGATCAATGGTGTGAGAGGCTCCCGTGGCTGCAAAAAGGAGACCGTGGTTGATCATCTGCTCCAAGCTGAAGGGAGAGGAGAATAAGCGTTTTGTTTGTCCTTGGTTCTTCTCTTCCTCCTCTTCAGAGACTGCTGTGACCACTGCTTCTGGAGTGGGAGAGGAGATGGGGTAGGGGGGCTGTACTTGGTGACTGGCACTCATCTCTCGGGCAGCAGGACGAAGAAGATGGCCTTGAGGAAGTGCCCAAAGCTGCAAACTGCAGCGGGGAGCCAGTGGCAGCGGAGGCTGGGGTCAGTATTCACCACACATTTTGTGATGTCTGCCTACAGGGAGGGAACAGAGATCATCAGAGAGAGAAGCCCAGAACCACAGCAGTCGCTGCTGTGTTCTCCTGGCCCCACAACCCCTGGGGCTGCACCACCAACAGCCACAAGTGTTTGCTCTGCCTCTCTCACAGGACTGCAAGTCACTGAATCAGGCTGAAGAGCTCTGTGAAATACACCTTCTTAATTTGGCATCAACGAGGTGAAGTATCCCCCTTTTCAGCCACCCCTGGGGAAAGAAATGCTACAGGAGGCTTGCCAAGTATTTTCCATTTGGAATAGCTAAATAAAAGAAACCTTCCTCCCTTTATCCAAGAGGCTAGGAAGCCTTGGCAATATCAGCATTCTAATCCTTCTCTGTAAAGCAGGATACTTCCCAGAGGTTGTCCTGTTTAATATCAGCTCAAGTTGCTTGCAGTTTTTCTCTTGCATTAATGTTTTTTTTGGAACTCCTTCAAGCAACACAACCCCCCACTTTAGATTTCAAGCAATGCAGGCTTTGTTTGTGGAAATATGTGTGCTGGCAGAGATGCCTCCCAGACGCGTGGGCCAGATTTAGAGATCATTTGGGCAGCTGGTTTCAAGTATTAACAAGAATAGAAGCTGGCCTGCCATGAATAAAAAAATAACAACAATCCAGCAAATTCATGAAGACAGGATCTCAGCTGGCACTGGGAAGAGAAGGTGGAAAATATCTGGAGAGTAAAACAAAGACAGAGGTAGACAGAAAGTTGCATCTTCTGGTGGGGGGAAAAAAAAATGAAAGTTCTGCTAGCAATATAGTTGAGTTAATAATGGGTTAAATTTCAGCCTAGCACAAGGGGATACTGACTGCAGTTCTTAACAGAGGGTGCACCCTTAGCACATCAACTTCACAGTTTTCAGAAATAGCTTTTGGGTGCCAGATATGAAAAAGAATTGGGTCACAAGGAGGGCAAGTATTCACCAGCTCCAAAAGCTTTAGCTCAGCAGTCTTCCAAGTCTGCCTTCTGACACAAGTCTCTTGTTGACCAAGCAGGGGGAAGTCAGACTCTCAACCCTGAGATGTTCCTCCTATAAAATGGGACACAAGAGCTGCTGAATCTTCCAAGAGCCTTTTACAGCACTTCCACTCATTCAAGACATGGGTGAGCCTCATCTGACCAACCTTGGTAATAATTAGAAGAACACAAAAGGGAGACTGAAGGGCCAAATCCCTGTGTCCAGATTGTGAGTACAGCCACCCTAACCAATTTCACTGTCATCCACAGACCAAAGGGCTGTTGACAGCAGCCTCATGCAGTTCCATCAGTTCTTCCCTCACAAGGAAGTCTGAAAGGCTGGCATCCTGAATCACCCCATGCTGCTGTTCTCCAGGAGACACTGAGCCCATGAATAACTTACAGACAGAGATTTCAAGTGAAATGAATAGAGGCACACAAGGATGGGAAGAAACAGGATGACAGGAGGAAGCTAAATCAGCACACGGGCTGCTCCTGAGGCTGGACATCAAGGTCTGAAAATGCTGCTTCCTATAGCTACAAAAGGCACAAGCAAACATAGCAAGCAGCCAAAATGGCAGGTAACAGAAGATGCTGCCATGTAGTACCAGTGATTATAGGTACTTTACCTATATTGGGGAGAAAAGTAAAATGGGTCTGCCTCAATGCTTCCAGTGCTGGCTTAGCAAACTCACCCTTTTTGCATTTGAAAAAAATGTCTGAACTCATTTCAGCCTGTCCAATTTTAGGGACTAGCATAGTGTCATACTTAAAACACACTTGTGTCAAGCTGTCTCTTTAGTCAAGAGATGTCATGACATGCAGGTATCTGTCTGAACATGTATTCAGATGTTAGGTTGGCTGATTAATAAGAAACCTGAGGCCTGAAGGGCTTTAGTGCCTCCTGTGAACAAGTACAAGGCCCAAATATGTACATCAGGTTGATTAGAGCTGCAGAAGATTAATTTGCAGGTGAGAAAGCATGAACTCCTTAAAGCTGTGCTATGCCAAAGGCAATGACCTCACTGGGGCTAGTCAAGAGAAGCTGCAGTCAGAAGCACTTTCAAATCTGAATGGTGCTTGCTTAGATAAATAAAATTGCTTAGCTGCTTAACAACTGCCATAGCTATTTGTCCAAATAGAGCATACCTGATAAGGCACTGCAATTGAAAATGTAAAGAACCACTTAAGAGAACAGGCTTTGATTCTTGTGAGGCTCTGATAAGCTGTTGCAATGGCACTTTGATCTTCACCCATCACTCATTCAAACAAGTTCAAGTTGTGTGCTCTTCTCTGTGGCAAATGTATCAAAGGCTGCTAAAAAAATTAAAACCCTTTCTATTCTATAGTAATGCCACTGATGAGACTGTAAACTCTCCCCAGGGAGAGACCATGCCTCAAAAGGTTAAATATTTATTGATTTTTTTTTTTCCTAAGGGGTTTTAGGTTGGGTTTAGGGGAGTCAGGTCTTTCTGCACCCCATGGATGCAGTATGGAAACCTACTGCTGAATGGAGACTTTCAGACCCCTTCCCAAGGTGCCCATGGTGGCTTTTCTGAGACAGCTCAGAGCACAGTGGTTTCTCTTGGCAGCCTCAACCTGAGCTGATGCACAGGAGACGGGGGCCATGTGCACAGGGCAAACAAGGTCTCTGTGCCAAGACAAACTAACAAGCAGCTAGGTCAGGCAGCAGATGAAAGGGTCCCTGCTACAGAGCTGTTTTGTCTGGCCCATTTGGGAACAAGGCTGGGAAATTTCACACTGCAGCCCCGAGATGAAGAGGAAGAACATTTGGGCACAGCCCAACATGTCACGAGGATTAGCAGCCTTTCCCCAGGCTGAAGGAACCACTCCTTTCTAGAGGGAAAAGACCTTGTTGCAGCCTAAAGTTGCTGATAGGGGAGCTGCAGACAGGCTGTAATGAGTACAACCCAGCAGCTTTTGCAGTCCTTTTGCTTGACTGGGGGCAGTGAGGTTGGCTTTCCTTTCTTAGGGCCAGATGCTACAAGCAAGCAGCTCACATAGAAGTACACTGGCCATCCAAAGAGGGATGGCCAACAGAAGGAGCTAGCAGTGGACAGGGCTTATCTCCTCAGCTGCAAAGAACCACGTCTGGTCTGGAGATGTGTTTTGTGGCTTGTTTGCTATGCAACAAACTTTCTAAAAATATCCATTTGGAACTATCAGAACACGCTGTTTGGAACTCTAGTAATGTCATACCCAAATCAAAACAAGATGCTAATGTATCAGAACATGCAGGTTTTACCAAAACAAAGAAAACAAAAATTAGTTGGAAACTAGGAGAAGTTCCTATGCAACATTTCAATTTTAATCAGATTGGATTTTTTCCAAAGGAAAAATTGTTTCAGTGAATGCCTTTCAAACAGCTCTACAAATATCCAGTTCAAGAAAGCCTCAAATGATACTGAGGCAGGGATTTCACAGGCAGGACCAGTGCTGCTTAATCAGTCACTTTCCCAGGATATCCTCTTCATCTTGCACAGTTATTTGTGCAGATATAAAATAGAATGGATCAGGGCACTCGAATCAAAGGTCACTTTTCAGCCCAACCAGACAGTTCCCTGACTCAGTTGGCATCAAAGTAATACAGTTTTAGGGAGGGTAGGGCTGATTTAAGGTGGCAATGATGCTTAGTAAATGCAAGGGATCCAAAATCAAAACCATGCTGCTTTTCCAGTTGCCCTTCACCAAAAAGGTGCCTTCAATCCTGGAGAAATTAGGTAACTGAATAATCGACAGGCACACTTGGGAAATCTCAGCACAGGGAAGCAATGCTCAGTTTGGAAAAAGACATTCCCCCTCTCTAGGGTCTGTGCCAGGTGGGGAGCCCAAGTATTTCCTGACAGCTCAGGAATAAATCTCACCTCCTGGAAAGGAGAGAATTTGCTCCTGTGGCTCAGTGTGAAAAGAGTGCATGCCTTGGGAACAATATGTCCCCTAAGCTCAGTGGTGTCACATGGCAATATTTAGCTCTAGACAGCATCTGCCAGGCAGTACACCAAAGTGCTTTTGGCTGTATCACTCCAACAAGTGTCTACATCCTTGCCAGAAAGGCACAGAGATCCTAGGATATATGTCCATCACCCACCTGCCAAACACCAACAGAGCCAACCAGCCATCTCAGTCTCCTGGGGAGCTCACTAGTCATGTTAATATACTAAACTTTTACTTGGAGAACTGTGAGGCAGGTGAAAGGGGAATTAAGTTAGCAAGCCTCATTTTTTTCAGTTTCTAGAAAAGCAAGAGAATGACCCCTGTTTAGAGTCTCCCATTCTGACTGCCTGGCAGCTCCAGAGATGTCAAGTCAAGACCAGAAGAGATCCTGGTGGGTCAGGATTGAAATAGCCTGGCACACAGCTACAGAGGAAGCTGAAGACCAACAACATCTGATGATGTTGAGGATGGGACCACCAGGCAGTAACAGAGCCTAGCACAGGTAGTGGCCACAGGGCTGCAGAAGACAATCTCATTCAATGTTTTTCTGCACAAAGCTGCAGTGAGAGCACTCTCACTTTCCTTAACCTGGATATTTTCTGGAGTGCACATGTGGAAACAAGTTTGATCAGACAGCATCTCTTACCCAGCCTCCTCTCCTTCTCAGCCAGGTCACCAAGGTCTTGCGGACAAACTCTCCCAGGCAGTCCACGATGGTGTGGACCATGGCTGGCTGGGCATGCCTCACACAGTCCACTGCCAGCCCTGCTGCCACAGCATACAGGGACACCACCTTGCCCCACGTTATCCCTAGGAAAAGAAGAGAGGTCACTCAGATTGACACACACACACACAGTCTTGAGCAATCAAAGGAAAGAGCTCTCCTTCATTACGTGTGCCCACGCTGCGTTGGTGCAGCTGGGAGTTCTGGGGAAAACTCTCCACCTGGAGAAGCAAAATTAACTTACTTGACTCCCTCTCAGCACTAGGTGCACAGCTTTGGAGAAAGGCATCATCAAAAGAGGGAAGATGTGAATCACCAGATTGCCATTAACACTCAGCCAGGCATATGCTGCACAGGAGGTGACTGAATCAAAAGAATCTGAGAAAGCTGGGGGTTCTGTCACCAGCACAGCTCTTGAACACCCTTAAGACAAAGCAATCCTGTTTTTTTCTACATCAGAGGAGACTGTTCCAAACGTGACACACAAGATAAGCATCTTCAGTCAGTTTTACCATGATCCAAGAGCAAAAAAGGGAGGCAAAGCTACAGGGACAAGAGGGATTGCATCCTCCTTGATGTAAGGAGCACCATTTGTCTCCCCATGAAATCCAGGTAGCTTCAAGAGTTCTGCTGCTCTGCCTTCAATAGTTAATGCTGCATATCCTATCCTACTGAAGGTAGTGCAGGGATGGTGTGTCACTCAGTTATCTAATCTCCCAGAAAACAGCCTTCCTGCTAGGCTGACCTGCCAGCAGTGAATGCTCCATGGGATTTCTCCCAGCAGCAGTCATCTTCCTGTTAGCACTTGTGATAAGCACTCAGGCTCAGCTCTGGGTACCAGCCAATCTCCCCAGGTCTCCCCTGCACTTTGGGGCACAAATCCTCCACACCTAAACATCGTGGCCAGCAGTCCCTCATCAGGCTTTGATCAGTTTTCTGTACCCATGCAGAAAAGCTACCACAGCACTATGGCTTATGGGTTTTGTTTGGATCCACTAGGAAGTCAAATTCTCCTCCTTACTTTATTATATGGAATAGCAGTATTTGGTAAGCAAACTGTGAAGTCTTTTACAGTGACAGGGCTCTGTGGAATCTGTCCAAAGTCTCTCCCAAATGTAGTCGGAAGCCAGGTGAAGTTTCAGTGTTTAAAAACCACAGAAAAACAGTCTGGCTTGCCACAAGAGAGAAAATAAGTATGAGGAAGGAAAAGATTAATTCAGTCACTAGTTTTAAGGACCAGAAGGGGTTAAACACACAATCAGAAAACTGGATGTGTTCAGCAATCTTATCAGCTGAGAAAGCAAACCCTTAAATACAGTTGAAGAGTCTCCCTCTTTCCTTCATCACACTCCCAGACCCCCAGGCACCCTGATCTACCTCTCCAGAGTCTCCTGTCCTTCTCTCTGTCCTTCACCAGCACCATCTCCAAGGTCAGAGGAAATTATTAATATAGCTAAATTGGCTGTTACTCTGGTTTTGTTTTCTGAGTAGGCCCTGTGGTGTCCCTTCCCCAGAGCTGTCACTCAGGAAGTTCACTGCCTCTGTGGTATTATTCACACTATTTATCTGTCTTTCTCACATTGTGTGTCACCATGACAGCCAGCAGAGCAAGCCAGGAAGAGGCTGTGAAACCACATGAGAAAATACTCCACAGAGGGCTTCTCCTGGTGAGAAAGAGGCCGTCCTGTTGCAGGTCAGTACATCTCCACCCAACAAAGGGGGCTTTAAAGTTACCTCTTGCTGACCACAAACTCCTGGACCAGAGCCTCAGCTGGCTTATGCTCAGCTTTAGTCTAAGCCAGTTTGGTACAGTTCCCCATCCCTGCAGAAAGGTGGCTCCTTGCACCCTGAGTTACATGAACCAGAGTTACCCAAGATTCCAGGGAAGAGTTCACTGGCTTATTCCCAAGCTTTTACTGACAGCAGTCTTTCTTAGGCATCTGGGGAAGCTCCATTAGCTTTGGCAGGGACTGAGACTGAAAGGGGGCTGACATCACCCTAAGTAAAGAAGGACAGCTCCAGTCTTGACTAACTTTGTTCAAACCCAAGTTTTTCTTTCCAACAGAAGAAAAGTGTATCCACAACCTATGAAAGACAAAGGCTCAATGGACCCACAGTTTCCCTCTAACACAGGAAAACAGTTTGCTCTACAGATGTGTCTGGTCCAGGGGTCTCCTCCAGCTCTGGCTTCCTTGCCAAGGGTGCTATGTAGTAGTGACTGCTGCAGGACTTGCACAAGGTGAATCCTTCCCCAGCAACTGGGGAGCCCCTCTCCCTTCCACAAGGAGAGCAGAAAGAGGAGAGGCTGTTGGCTGATGTTTATTGTGGTAATGAATGGATGTGAAGGGCTCAGCGGTCACTTCCCATTATCCTCCTCTTTACAGAGCATGCCTGCAAGGGCCAAAACAATCTGTCACTCTGCTTTTCCTGTTCCTGGCAGAGCTGGGCCACAAGGGTGGGAAAGGAGGAAATCCACTCCTAGTTTCTCTGCATGGAACCTCCTGTTGCCACTGCTGGAGGGAGAAGATGGAGACTGACTAGCTGGACTCCTCACCTGAGAGGGCAGAACACAGCTCCTGCTTTGGCTCACACAAGAGGTAGGGGAGTCCTGAAGCAAGGGAAGAGCAGACACCTCTAACAGCTATTCTAGACTAAAGCTGGGCCATGCCTATGGCCAGTCTCTGACCCAGGAGGGCTCCAGCAGCCACTCAACCCCAGGCAGGACAGGGGGACAGGCCCCAGTAGCCCCCATCTGCACTTTTCCAGGACACCAGCTCCATTAATTTCTCCCTCTGAAGGACTCCTTTGGCAGGGGTAGAGGAGCACACTCTACTGGGATGGCAGTGCCTCTGCCCCCTCTGATGTCTAAGCCAGGGTCAGGGTGACACTAGCATGATGCATGCCTTGGCATAAGCTGTATTTGCATCTGGCCAGTGCACACGAGCAGAGAAGACACATTATCTTGCTTCAAATTCCTCCAAAGGCCTGGCTGCCATCCACACTGGGCAAAATGGGCACTCATCACCAAGTGAGATAATCCAGTCACAGCCTCCCACTGTGCAGACTAGCACACACAGCAGCTGACAGCAAGAGGGGATGGGAAACTGGTCCAGAAAGGAGGGATCAAAAGAGAGAAAGCTCTGAAACTTCTGCTCACAGAGGCTGAACAAAAGGACACGGGAAAGTGAAAAGCTGCTTAGAAGGCCTTTTACAAAATAAGAAGTACAAGTTGCAGACTCAAGGCCAGTCATGGAACTGAAGGTATGTAAACACTGGTGAGCCCAGGGGAAAATGAATTAGCAGGAGAGGACAGCTCTTGAAAGTGTTCCTGCTGCAATTCAGCTTGCCTGCCCCAGGGGAGAACTCAAGAAACCATGAGACACAACTGCCACACTGTCCAAGGTCACTCAAATAAACTTCCTTCTGCTCCACGTGGCATCAAAGCCCAGCTTGCAAATCAGACCTGAAACATGATCAAGTGCTGCTTTTCAGGAGCTGGGAGAGTGCAGCAAGACACAATATACAAGCAATGAGGAAGCACTCAGAGGCACTTCTGACAGCACTTGCTGCTGCAGGGCAAAGTACCTTCTCCTGAGAACCCATCCCTGATGTGTCTATTCAGCACTATTCAGTCTCTTGCTTGAAAACTGATAAGCACCTAAACCACACAAACAAGGATGAAAACATCTATAGAGCCCCCACACCTCACAGCTCTCACCAACTGGAAGAAACTGTTTCCTTTAGGAAAGAGAAATGTGTCTCCCTTTTCTACTTCTGTTTTTCTACCAAGTGACCCTTTCCTTCTGGGATTTATTTAAACAGCTGATGTACATGCCAGCTCAGCCAGGCCCCAAAGCAAAGCCTGTTAAAGTCAGTGGAAAGTCTCCTGCTAGCTGCAGAGCAGCTCTGGACCACACACCAGAACCAGCAGTGTTGTCACAGAGGTGATGCTGCTGCAAATCCTTCAACATCCAAAGCAGGTCAGGGCTCTTCTCGTGCCACTCTCCACACAGATGAGCTCTCCTTCCACTAACTAATGAGTTGTATGGTAACAGGGAAGAAAAACACAGCTTGAGTCTCACCATACTAATGCCCTGCTCACTTTCTGCCTGTGTTCTCAGATGTTAATCTTGCTGTAATTGGGATTCAAGCTGTCCTTGCTATGCCACAGTAAAACCAAACCTGAAATATCTGGAATAGACAAGGCTCTGAAGTCAAATATGGCACAATGTACCACATGCACTGCAACCAGCAAGGGTGCCAGATGTCCCCAGTCGTGCCTTCCTGACAGGTCCATCTAGGACTTGTGCTTAGTCAAGCCTTCTAGATGCTATGAAGACTCAAAACCAGACCAGAGTGTAGAAAAAGGCCATGTAAAAGATGAAGGAGAATATCCCTCCAGCAAGATAGGGTCAAAATCCCCCAGTCCATTGCTGGAAAGGCATTGTGAGTAACTAATAGGGCTCCCCAGAATGTCTAGGCACTGCAGTGTCAGACTGTAGCTCATTTCTTAATAAACTGGACAGTGAAAAACAGGCTGAGATGCTTTAGCCATTGGTAATTGGCATGAAAAGTCAAACTGCACTTCAGTCTCTGGTTTCCTTCGCTCATTAAGAGCCTCTTTCCTCTGAACTATGAAAAAAATTAGGAATGAATGTCTGGCTGCCACAGCCAACTCTGATTTGCTGGATTTAGCCTTCAATCCTAAGTATTGAGACTGCAGCTGGGGTCCAGGAATGTTAAAAATCAGCAAGCTCCTCCCCCTCTGCCACTCAGCAACCTTCTAGCAAAAGAAATTACAAAAATGAATTGATTAAAACCAGTTGAATACACAACCCTAGATTCATGCTGACAGGTTATCCTGTTAGTTGCTCTGATGCAGAGATTAGAAAGAAGAAAGAAACCAGAGCATAGAGAGCACTGGGAAAGTTTTAATCCACCCCCCCATGCAGCCAGTCAACTGCCAGCCCAATGCAGCATGGTGTCCCCAGACAAGGGGCAGCACTGACAGAGCTTGAGCCTGGGCTTCTGCTGTGTTCCCAAACTCTCTAGCACTGTCAGTCTCAAAGGGCTGAGCCCAGATCCCATTCTTACTACCCCAAAACTCTAAGTTTAGGACAATGAGTTACAATTTCTAGGTTTACTTTCAATAAAAACGTTTTAAACCGTCCACATATTTCACCTGACTCCTGAGCTGAGAAGCTGAAGAACACCAAAAAAATGCAGCTTTCAATAAATGTGTGAATTTAGGCTGGGGAGAGCAGGACTCCCAGAAGCCAGCAGGGCTTTCTCCCAGCACCACATTTATGCAGGGTGGCAGCACACATCCTGCTCCACGTGCAGCTGGTGCAGGTGTTTCTGGCTTCATTCTCTGCCTCACTTCAGCTTTGGAGGTGGGCCAGTTCTGATGTAGTCAGCCATAGTCATCTAAGAAGATAACCTACTTACCTGCAACATAAATACCTGGGCCTGCAAACCTGACCTTTGTTCTTCTGTAAGCCCTGACACACTCAGACATTCCTGCCATACTTGCCCAGCTGTTGCTTTCTGAGCCACTATGGGCACCCAAGCCAGGCCAGGGCAAAGGCAATCTGCATTCCAGGCATGCTCTGAGAGGATGCCAAGGGCTGCAGTACTAGCTACAGAATCCAATTCCATCCATTTCCTGTGACACAGTATCAGTTTCCCTGGCCCAAGGAGTAAATCTGCCCTGCTCAACCTGTCAGGAGCCCTGCTCGAGCAGGCCCTCTCAGAGATCTATTTTGTTGTGATTCTGGAGAAGATCTGTGCTCTCCACCACACCACCTTTCAGACTGGAGGTCCAGGATGCCAGCACAGGTCTTCTGCAGTGTGTCAGTGGTTCCCATGCAGTTTATAGGCATAAGGAAACATAGCTGATTGTGGAGATAAAACGAGTTTGCCACTTTGAAAGTACAACAGTAACCTAGACTTCTATCCTGTAGCAACTACTCCCAAAGCAACACCAATCCCTGCTTCCTGTGATACATCCAGAGTTCTCACACTTACCTGCTGCTAGCAACTAGTTGTCTTTGGATTTTTTCCCCTTTGTTTGTTTTGTTTCTAGTATCTAATATCTACTGTCTCTTCCATGGACAACACAACAAGACATTGCAGAAAGCCTGTAACCATGTTATGCCTGACATAAATGATGTGAAATGTTTCTTTTTCCCCAGACTGCATTCCCAATTGCAGTCTGGGACTGTTTTCAACAGAGGCTGAGGTTCCCTTGCAAGAACACAGCACAGTGTGTATCCTTGCTTTTGACAGTCAGCACCAGTCAAACAGAAGCAGAAGAACACTCATGCCTAAGCAGGGAGAAAGCTCAAAGCACCTTGCTGTGCAGAACAGCCAGTTGTTAGGGCTTAAGTAGGAGAAAGGAAAAGCAGCAACTAGAAGCAGCAGGCTCCACTGCAGTTCTGGCTACTGCTGTGGGAAAGGAAGCCAGAAAGAGAGGAACTCCCTTGTGATGTGTTGGTTCTGACTCCCAGCATCAGCAACCTGAGCTGGAACGAGGGAGACTAACATGTAATGAACTGTCTCGGGTTGCCAATGGTGATCAAAGGAGCTTGGAATGAGTGACCTCCCTGTGCAATGAGGTAACACCACCTCATAATAAGGAAGGGTGGGAGATGCCTTCTCGAATGAGTGATAACCTGCCAGAAGGATATAATAAAACAGGGCATTTCCCTGCCAGAACAGAGCACAGAGGAACTCTCATTAAATCATTAAAGCAGGGCACGCTGCCAAACTGCCCACGGCCCTTTCAGAAACCAGGCTCCACCTCGCAGGCCATCCCAGAAACATGCCTTCTCTGAGAGAGGTGGCTCCATCCTGTTCCTTTCTGCCCAGCCCTGTCTGTGTTACCTGCAGTGAAGATCTGTGCAGCCACAGCCAGGAAGGCATCTGACACCACCGACTCGGAGTGCAGCGAGATGTTCAGCTGCCGGGCCACGTTCCGGTACACGTTGGGGCGAATGTATTCCAGCTCATCCCCTGGAAACACAGCCAGCAGTCAGCACACACAGCACCAAGTCCTGCTCTCACCCTGGAGGAATTACAGCCAAGGCCACCCCACCCTGTCCCTTCAGCCACAGAGAGTCAGCTCCAGCTCCACCTTGGGCAACAGAGCGCTGAGGGAATTCAGCTGCGCTGAACCCCCTGCACCCTGCTTTGCCCTGAAACTTCTAAAGGGAGTGGGGTCAAGCAGTGCCTGCAGTAAGTAAAAAATGTTCCTAGGGTGGATGACTGCCCTTCCTCCAACACAGCAGATAGGCCTCAGATGAGCAGAGCCATCTCATTCCTTCAGCAGTGAAAAGGAGGCAGGTACATCTGTGTAAGCTTTTGAGAGACACGCCCTCCCTCACACCCCACCAAACTTGCACAAAAAGCCTCCAGATGAGAGTGAGTCCAGAATGCTGGAGGCTGATGAAAGCTGAGGATCTGCTCAGAGCTGCACATTAACTGAGCAAAAAACACTATCAGCTCAGGTATTTTATGCTCACACAGGCACCGAGTGATGACCTGGAGTTCCTTCTCTCCTCCAAATGGTTGAAGAAATGTTCACTTGCCTGTCTGACCCCTCAGCAACAAGGTTTCAAACACACATGCAGGCACAGGCTTTAACTTCTGGCTTGTTTTCTCCCTAGCTGGGAAACTGCTGGAGGTGTTAGGCTACCTCAAAGACCAAGATGGAAATCCCAAGGACATGCAGAGAAGCTCCTCCCACAGGATCATCCTATGGATCTTGGGCAACAGCAGTAAACCATTTTTGAGCAGTAGGATTAACAAAGCTCAGTTTCCAATGGATTTACCTCTCTGTAGGGACTCACAGACACTTAATGAGGGTTGCACGTTTGCCATTCCAAAATACGTTTGGATGCCCAGTTGAACACTTTGCAACATTTAGGGCAATTTTTGTGCTTCTTCTCCTTCCTCCAGTAATCAGGGAAGAAAAAGTCAGGCAGCAGGGACAGTTCATGCATGCAGCAGCTCAGTGCAGAGGTAAACAGGCACTTGCCTGGGTCTTGGCCACAGAAGAGACAAGGACAGATAAACCAGCCCACTGACACATAGGGCAGGTTGCTCTGGGATGTCTCATTTAGCCACACCATTAGGTTTTGCTGCCTCTAACTCCTCAATTGCACTAATTAGCTGTTAAGGCTCAGTGAGTTGATGGGCTCTTACTCTCCAAGACTCCAATTGTATGGCCTGTGCCCAGCACTTCTCCTGGCCCACCAACCAGTTCAATGGACTCTGTATGCACAAGAGGGCTATGGAATACTCCAATTTCTCATCTCCACAGGCTTGTCAGCACTGTCACAGACAAAAAAACTGGTCTGGCTCGTTGCACTGCTTAGTAAGGAGCTAAGGACTACCATTCCTGGCAGGTGGCTGGATACCACTCAGCCTTATACTGGTTAAAGCAGCAAATGGGAAAAGAAAGGGACAGGCCATGTGGCAGGCAGCATTTCTGAACAAACAGGATGGAAGGAACTTCTCATCCTAATAAGGAGGACTGCTCACCCTCCTTGTTGCATGGGTACCAGCTGGCACTCTCCAAACAGATTTGCCCAGAAGGCACCATGTTCCTGGGACTGTCAGCCAAATCTTTCCATCTGGACACAAATAAATAATTGGACAGTCATCCAGGAGACGCCTTCAGATCCAGTCTGCCACCTGCTTGCCCTTTAACATGGTCCTGGCCACCCACAGAAGATCTGGTTCAAAGCAAACAAATCTCAACCCCAAACCCAGGCAGAGAAGAAATGCAAGAAAAAGAGACAGTGAGATCAACAGAAGAACAAAAAAAAACCCAAACACCCAAAGACCAAACAACCACTGAGAACAAAGCCAGAAGTAAAGTCAGCATAGGAGAGAAAAAGTGAAAAAGAATGAATTAAAAAAAAAGTCAGTTAGAAGAAATGCAGCTATGCCTTCAAAAGAATTTTGGGCTAACACCAAACAGAAGCAGAAAGAAAGTGGGGATACAAGACTAGTCCTGAGTTTGTTAGGCCCACCTAAAGGCTACTACACCAGAATTATTTGAACTTTGCTGTAATTAAATCAGATGTAAATGCTAGTGGTAGGTTCCAAACCAGCTGTGAACTAGTATGCAGTCTGCAGGTAAAGAAGGATGTTGGAACAAGCCACTAGACCTGCCTAGAGCTAGGCAAAGGAAAACTACACCATTAACACTCTGTCATAGAAAAGTGTTGTTTATAAAATCTCCAATCCACACGCTCTGACCAACTACCCTCCCATTAAATGCCCTTGCAGCTGAGAAAGCAACTGATGAGGTCTAGAGGCAGCAGGACTCTACCAGATGCCAGACTGAGTTGTGTCAGGGCAGTGAAGTCATCTGCATCTGAAGAGAACACTGCAAGGCCTCTTAAAATGCCAAGCTGAGAAAGACTAGTGAAACTCTTGTGGAAACGGTTACACAGCTCCAGCCTGATGCAGGTAAAACTCGTTTGCTGTTGGGGTTACTTGCACTGCATCATGTTCTTAAGTTGTTGCAAGCCCTCAGAAAAAAGGTAACAGCTCTGCAGAAACACTGTGCTGAGCAGTGCTCCAAGCTGGGACTGAGGAAATGCAAGTAAAGTAGCTGTTTAGAGAAAAGCATCAAAATCAAATCTAAATGACTGGAGAAGAAAGAAGAAAAACCTCTCTATCACCACACAAAAAGCCTCTTGGCACTCATCAGTTGCAGGAATGTTAGATGGGTCTGAACTGCTCCATAGGGTCTCAGCTCCCACTCCCAGGTGCAGAGGCACTCACCCAGTCTCAGCAGGATGGTGGACACCTCGGCCAGCTTGCCACCAGGCACTGGTGCGTGGTGCTCAGGTTTGCTCCAGCTGACCCCTGCTCGAATCAGCCTTGAATTTATGTAGTCTCTGCAGAGAGCCTTGGCTTGGGACACGAGCTCCTTGTCAGTGGGAGACCTGTCAAAAACCTCCATCACCTCTGCAGCAAAGACCGAGGAACGGCGCAGCACTTCCATCCTGGGCTAAGGAGCCCACAGCTCGGCACACGCTCGCTGGAGGGCTGACCCGGGGCCTTAGATGAGGATCTGCAGGAGCTGTGTAGGAATCATCTGGGCTCCTGGTCTGTCACAGCCCCCAGCAGCTATCCTCAAAAAGCAAGTTTTTCGTTTTACCTGGTGAATAAAAGCCAGCTGTAAGTCCTCTAGCACTGCAAAGATGTAAATCAGAACCCCAGGTAACCTTACAGTCACACTAAAGTCAGTAGTATAATATTTCCAAAACATCTGTCTTGGTGCATCTTACAGACAAGGGGCAAATTCTTCCATCTTTCAGCCACTCTGACTTTCACTTGGCAGCATGACCCACAGAAGGGTTCAGTTTTGGGTTATCAAGGTGCTTCCTCTTTTCCAGCTCAGATTTAGCAGTCCTAGAATTACCCTTCAGAGAATCTAGATGGTCAGAGCGTGGAAATGATTAATGGAATGCATAGACAATCTCAGCTTGTTTCAGTTAAACTGGGGGAAAAAAAATGAATCCAAATACCAGCTACAGTAACCTCAACCAGATGTCAATAGATATCCAGCTCAGTAGGTCGTGCATCTTTCTGAAGCAATGGCACTGCTGCAAGAACAGGGCTACAGGAGCATTTTAAACGTCTCAATGGAGGCAGTTTACCACATCCTCAGTTTAGATTTTGGTTCTGCCACTCTTTCTCTTCCCTCCCTGCCCCCGCACCAACAGCCACACTACTTCTTGAAAAGCTTTAGCAAGAACAGAAAGATCAAAACCAGAAAAGCAGATTTATTTTTTTTTTTTTTTTAGGTTTTCAGGTGTGAATGCCTGAAAAGAAAATTCAACATTTCAACCTGAATTCATCTGTTGATCTGACTTTAACCCAGTGCTGCTTTTGAAGTCAGGGTCAGCCCAGTCTTTACTCAGATGTTAGTAAATGCATTTTTCAGTCCCCAGCTTTAGACATACCTACAATAAAGATTTTCAAACAAAATGAAGCCAGTTATTTTCATTTGTCCCAACGAAAAACATATTTACCTCTCACGTTGCACATGTTCTCCATCAGTGACTTCTTTTTGGGGTTTGGTTTTCATTGCTTTGGAAGATCTGCACCAATGAACACCTGGTTTAGGATTCAGTGGATACTGTCCCACTCCTCTGGAGAGCAGCCACCAGCCTTCTCCGCCACGCTCTCTGGAGGGCTCACGTCAGCGTCTCTTGTCCCCATCTCTGGCAGCCTCACATGCTGGCTGTGCTCCACAGGGATCCTCGGGGCTTGTTCTGCTGCTTTTAAGGGACCCAGCGGCAGAGGAAGGCTTCTAGCTTTAGCCTTGTAAGGAAGATGAAATAACCAGGAGGTGGGGTTGCTCTAGTCAGAGAGCGACGCTTTCTCCTCCCCTTTCTTCTCTCTTAAGGAGGTACTCGATTGTTCTGCTGCGAGCGTACAGGGGATGGAGGGAATAAAAAGCTTGGGGCTAAAGCAAGCAGTGCCTGCCTGCTTGCTTGCTTTTTGCGCCCAAACTTTGAGTAGTGGCATTAAAACGAGTGAGTTGGGTTTGCTGATGCCAAATAGTTCGCCCTGAGTGGAGTGTTTTACAGGGACATGGCCATTCCATCTCAGTGTGTTAAGAAAACAAAGTTCAAGGAAAACATTTCAATTTGTTACAAAATACTTAGAAATTAATTTCAACCTTAACTCCTTGTTGCAATAGTATCATATTGATGCCACAATATGATACTGCCTTTGTGTGTGATACCATTTTAATTCGACAGACCAAATAAAAACCTTGGCTCTTTGTGTTACAATTTGAAACAAAAGAAGTTTTAGAAATAGACTTTTCCTGCAGACAAGAAGTTCTACCAGCCCAAACACAAACTCTCCCCAGCAAATAACAGTTTGTTGTCTAATCACTGGGTACATGGCATGCTCAAAATACAGCCTTTCCAAAAGGAGGTCAGAAGCAAGAAGTCATTATTACCGCCTCTTGCTTGTCACCTCTGAGAAAAGACAGAGGCAAGTATACCTCTCCAAGGTGTTGATCACAAAGAAACCCAAGCACCACTGCAGGAAATGTTTTTAACCAACAGCCTTCCTCAAATTTAAATATATTTGCTATAGACAGAGGCCCGTCCCATAGGAGCTGAAATCAAGACTCCAGTGATCCTGCCCTTCCCTAATCCTCCCCTTCTCTGCAGAGTGAACCTCATGGTCTCTTGGAAAACCCTATTTTTTGCCTTTGCAACTCTGATGGCTGAAAAATCATCAAAAATTATGTCTTAGCTTCCTGCAGCAGCTGACAGCTTGAAACAGTAGCCTTATTTAAACTGTCCCTATTCAGTAGGGCCCTGAAAGAAAGATGAACGTTTAAATATCAGTATTGCTTAATTAATGTTTCCCAGAATTCTGGCAAATATGCAAGTACCACAGTCCTTCCCAGCTCTCTGTGGGTGCCAAACCCAGCCCACATGTTCCCTGCCCAACTGTCAGGGCATACAGCACTCCAGCAACTTCCACCCTGCAGCAAAGACACAGAGACTAGAAAGAAGAAGGATATCTCTAATAAGGCAGACTTTGTATTCAAAACCCAGCAGTGCATGGTATTACACCTATATGATTTACATGCTAAAAATACAGCTTCACACTGAAAGATACCTCTACAAGTAAAAAAACAGATGAAATCACAGCATACAGTGCCCAGCTGACCATGAGGGAACAGAGTGTTACAGCCCAAGGAGCTGTCAGTGCAATGGGAGCCCCTTTTTCCATAACACATTCATGCTACAAGGCTTAGAGGCTACACCTATAGTGCAAAATCCCTCATGGCAAATAAATATCAGAAAACAGTGCAGAAACAGCTTCTATCATCAAAACCCACTGTTCCCAGTGCAGCTATTACTGGCATGACAGTCTTGTGGCTGGAATAAAAGGATGCATACCACAGCTCCTGCTTATCTCAGACCAAAACAGGTTGGAACATTCCTTTAGTAAATGGTTTTACCATTTAATAAAACCACAGAGATATGGCTACACCTTGTAAGTATCTCAAGTGGAAACAATCCCACTAAAGTCTTCTACCAAACCAGCCCTGAACCCTCTTCTGCATTATCTCACCCAGTTTTAACAAGGTCTTCTCCCTGCTGCCTCTTCCTGTCTGATTTTTGCAGCAATACTTCAATTCTGTGTCTGTCAGGTTCCCACATAGCACTGCAAAGACACCTATAATGTCAGGCTTTAGGCTGCAAAGCTAAGCAGGGTGGAAGAAACACTTCTTTTTATACAGAAATATTTTTGCCAACTGCAACAGGAAAACAATACATGGAAGAAGCAGCTTCATGGGACCCCAGCAAAACACTAAGGCTTTTGAATCATTCTCTCTTTTCTGAAGGGTTTGACTCAAAGCCTCCTGAAAGCCAAGCAGGTATTTGTGTTACTTGCATGATGGGATCACCCTGAAAGCACCTTTCCTGGGGCAGGATTTGGCAGTGCCAAGTGCCAGACCAAAGTTCACTGTGACACAGCCTCTCACCTTCCACAGCCTTTAAACTGTTCAGGAGGATAACAACTTTATATACATCAGGTTTAGCAATCAAGCCATTACTGAGGTTTCTGACACAGATTATCACTGACAGTCAGTGTCTTCCCTCAACCCACTGCCACGTTCACCACGACTCTGTGTAATCACAACTTCCTCTCCATAGGTATGTTTTTGTCAAAGGCAGAACAAAGAGATGTTGTATTCCAGAACTGATGTACAAACACACTGAAGGGGAATCTGTAGCATGAATTAAATTGCTTGAAACACAGAACATCTCTGCTTTTATTCCTGAATCTTATTCCAGAAATGTTGACTGAGAAGGGCAGGCAACTACTTGGGTAGATACTGAGGAGACACTACTCAGGCTTCAAGCCAGCAGCTGCCAACAGTAAAACAGCAGCTTCTAGCTAAATCTAGGACAGGCACACAGAAGAAATAAGAAGTTTTAAGTTGTTCAACAGCTATAGCTTTGTTTTGAAACACAAATAGAATATTTACATACCACACCACCAAAACAGAAAAGACAGAAAACACCTCATGAGGTCACTGTCCCCAAGAGAGCAAAGAGGACTTCCCTTTCAAGCTGTAGCTCATAAAGGCAGAGGATGAGCCTCTGCCTCATTCTGGCAACTGATCACCTACAAGATTTGGGAATCTCTTCCATGCAGGATACATGGACAGGTAAGTGCCTCTGCCTGCAATGACCCTGAAATCTCAAGAGCTTGAAGTAGGTGCAGGCAGAGGCTCAGCAGCATGTATGAGCTCCAACCCATTTATTTGCTGCTTTCAGACACATGCTGCATCTGGTAAGTACAGGGCAGCTGTCTTTATCCTGCACACACATCTTCACGCCCCAGACAGGCTTTGAGGGATTTAGACTTAAATTTTGCATACCCAGAATGTAGCCCTGCTTTTAATTAAATCCTTATTGACTTTCAGAAAGGCTCTTCAGTCTTAGCCTCTAATGCAGAGCAGGGCAGCAACTACACTTTAAAAAGCCCTGTCTTTTCAAACTGTCAGACAAGGAGTGTGGGCTGACGTCTCTAATCTGCACAAACACCGAGTGCATGATTCCTTCATCCACAGCTGACTCTGCCATGCAGCATTTTGGTCATTAGGATGCAGTTCCACCCTGTCTGCCAAGGTGTTTCTACACACTTGAGACACCCTAAGAGTCTGTGGAACTCCACATAAACAAAAATTATCTTCAGAAGTGCTTTGTTTACAAGATTTACCCCTCTTGCTCAGTGGGGCAGTATAGGGCTCTTTGTTTCAGCAGTAGGGTCAGCTGAAGCAACCTTTGCCTCCAGTGGCTCACACCCATTCCCAAACTGCTCTTCCTAATTGCACTGCTGTCATTTTGTGTTTGCTGGCACAGTGGACTGGTTGAGGGAGCTGGCTGTTTATTTTCCATCTGGATGCAATAAACCTTCCAACCAGGGCACATCTGCAGACAGTTGCAGACAGTCCAACCAAGGCAACTACAAGTAGAAGGAAACAATTTCAGCTTTGCCATCAAGACAAACACCC